GTTTTTCTCGAAAAACGACATCTTTCGAGTATTTCGTATTTTTCGACCGGAAGGAAGCAAACATTTGCTGAGACTAAAAGGTAGTTTTTCGTGGTCAGCAGCTCAAGCTCTATCCAATGATGTAAAGAAAACACGAAAACATTTTTTTACAGAAAGTTTGAGTTGCCTGCACCTTACCTAGAATTATAAATCCAGCACATTCTGGTTATACCATATTGCTTGTAAACAAAAGTGTGAATTTGCTATTCATGTTTGCAATAAATACCATGAATTTCCACGCGTGTCGTTCCATATATGAACTACATGGGATATACACGATCGTATGCGGCAGATGTATGTCGCTGTACGTGACCGTACAGCGCGGTCGCAAGGTGAAGAAGTAAATTTTGTATAATGAAGATGCCAGAGATAGTAGTGACGAAGACCAAATTCGTTGTTGATATAGCTTTTTTTAGTAGAGCTGCGTATTATCCATAAATATCCCTAGTGAATGTACTTGCGAGTGGGCACTTGTTTACTTGCAAATTTCTGCCGGTACTTGACAAGTACTTGACATGCATTATAAGAACTTGGCAAGCATTTTCCAAAAATACTGCTTAATAAGTACTTGTGCAAGGACTTGCGGAAAATTGCAAGTAAACAAATACCTAAGTAGATTTAGTAAATACATAAACTAATTTTTAATATCTTTCTATCTATTTTTTTTCCATCTTTTCACATTCATCAGAATTGTTTCTTACGCGCTCACTAGGTTAAAATAAAAGTAAAACAACAGAATAAACATTATTCTACCAACACATACACATTATTTGTCATGTACTTCCCAAGTACTTCAAGTACTTGTAGAATTTAGTCAACAGTATCACTTGCCAAGTATGTGATTTACTTGTCAAACTTTCCTCAGTACTTGCGGACTACTTGAGTAAGTACTTAGCCAAGTGCTTGACAAGCAGATCAAGTAATTCAATTACTTGATTTACTTGCGAAAAAAGCCAGGAACGCTAGACAAAACGTGCGAGGGTATTTGGGCAAGTACTTATATGCAAGTACATTCACTAGGGATAGAGTCAGCAAAACGTCTTATTATATATCTTTCTACTTCTGTTGTTTCTAGAAAGCAATCAATCAAGCAATTATATATTTCTATTTTGAGTTATGAATGTTGAGTACTCATTAATTAGAAAGTGATCGCGTTTTGGAAACGCTGACCAACGTGTTTTACTCGTTCCAATATGTGACCACTTTTATACTAATTTTGGTTGTATTTTTAAGAAACTGCGTTTTGAAGACAACAGTCTAATCTATCAGATAAAGTATTTAAAATTCTATTCTAATGGATCAGCTAGATACAAAAAGATTGTCTAGCCACAAAATTCATCCCTTTTACGGGCAAATGTGTGAAAAAGTTGAAGAATTAGAATGATATGACACTTAATCCTGTAAATACTAGAGGTTTAAGTAAATTTTATAGTTTAGTTGAAAAGAAGAGAAAGCGGGATGTATCATCATTTAGAGGATGAATTATGGAAACAATATGAGTTTATTTTATATACCAGTGTATTTCTTTACTAGGTATGGTTGTGACTAATGATGATGAAACCGATGATCGCATATTTATTCGACCATCAATGGAAAAATTTAAATCAACCACGAATCCTTATCTATACATCTGCGATGATGGTTATTCAAAACCCAAACTTGGCTTCATAGCTAAACAGTTTATTCAATTACTTTCGGGTCTAGGCATTCGTGATGAAATATTTTTGAAAAAACAAGAAGAATATTTTAATGAAATTCGTTCCATGTGTTCTAATCGTGATGTAGCTATTAAATATTGTCTTTATTTTGATCGATTGGATCTAGTATCAGAACTAATGGATACGACAAAAAATTTTAGTGAATCTATGATGAATGAATTAAAATTAATGCAGAAACGATCAAGTTCAATTGAAAGTATAAATAAATTAAAAATTCCAATAACAAAATCTCGAGTAAGTTGACAAGACCATACTCTCTAGAAGAAAATGATTCGCTATGAAAACCTTTTTCTGCTTGAGTTTCGAATTCGTTACAAATGTTGAAACTTTTTGGTCTACGAAACTTAAAATGGTTGGGTAAAAGCCTACGAAACTCCAAATTGTTCTGTAATGACCTACGAAACCTTAAATAGTTTCGTCGATTAATGCAAACCTTAACATGATTTCGTATAAAACTGCAAAAAGTGCCGTACGGAACTTTCCCTAATTTACAACCTAATGAGTTTCGTACGGCACTTTTTGCAGTTTTATACGAAAACATGTTAAGGTTTGCATTAATCGACGAAACTATTTAAGGTTTCGTAGATCATTACAGAACAATTTGGAGTTTCGTAGGCTTTTACCCAACCATTTTAAGTTTCGTAGACCAAATGGTTTCAACATTTGTAACGAATTCAAAACCTCAAGCAGAAAAAGGTTTCATAAGGAACCATTTTTTCTAGAGAGTACAAACAGAAGTCTATTCGTTTCCGTATCATTTAGCTTGCATTTGGTGTTGCTGATACTACAGGTGAACTTCGAGCTGGTGAAATTTTTTTTCAGCCAACATTAAACGGTCGACCTTTTATACTTGATGGTGCACGAGTTATGGTAGCAAAATCGCCAAGTTATCATTTGGGAGATATTCGTGTATTAAGTTTACGTGTTATCAAAAACTTATCTTATCTGTATGATTTGATTGTATTTCCAACTCAAGGTAATCGTCCACATTCAAATGAAATAGCTGGTAGTGATCTTGATGGTGATCATTATTTGATCTGTTGGGATGAAGAATTAATACCTGAAAACTTGAATAACCCAATGAACTATTCATCAAACTCAGAAGCCAAGAAAACTCCAAATATAACGCAAACAGATATCATTAAACATTTTGCAAAAGTTGCACATGACAGCACTGTTGGTACAATTAGTAATTATTTCAATAAATGGGCCGATCTCAATGGAATAACGTAAGTATCTCAATACTTAGATTAGAGTGAGAAAACATGATCTTTTTCTTTTATAGATGCACACAGTGTCGACAATTAGCTGAATTATTCTCAACCGCTATCGATGCACCCAAAACTGGTGAAATTGTTAGAATTCCCCCACATCTCCGTCTACCTCAGTTAGATACAACTGATTCTTCTATCACAGACAATAGCCAGAGTGATAATAATAAAAAAGAATTCGTTTGGATAAAAATGCGAAAAAATGGTGAATCATTTATAAAATCATCAATAATTCAATCTGACTTAGATATGTTATTATCGAAACAAACACTATTAAATATATTTTTGGAGCGTCGTTGTCCTCAATATTATAATTTTTATAATACTCAATCACTGGATGAATATAATCTCATATGTTTAGCAATTAAATGGTGTAATGAACAGAAAGATGGTAATGGTGAAAATCTCAAAGATTTTTATTCTTTATTTGATTTTAGTCAATTAACAATGAAACAAAAACGAGATATTGAATTATCATGTGCAATTGAACATTCAAACATCATTTATGATAGTTTACAAAAATCAAAAATTCTATCAAATGAATTAATTAAACAATATCATTTGAATCAGACAACATCAACATGGCGTCTGTATTATGTTTCATCTAGTCTATTCAATGTTGAATCTTCTTCTAGTTCAAATCTTTCATTGGCACCGATTATTTATGCGTTAAAAGACAATAAAAAGCTCCAACGTACCTTGATTAATATTAGAATAGATTTGAATGTAACACTTGTATTTGATATTGATTCAGGTGCATTATCGAATGATCCTGATGTCATTACAGATCGTCATGATAAAGCAATGTCAACAACATATCAGATAAATCCAGGTAAATGAGATAATTTATTGGATTTTCTTTTATACTTTATACTACTTTATATTTTATTTTTATCGATGTTACCTTTTGATGTTGAATGAAAAGTAAGGTGTCCGCAACTCAAAAATGCAGCACTATTTTAATTTTCGGTCGAAAGCTACATAGTCAGATAGCCCTAACTAACGAGGGAAGGTCCCTAAGTGTGAATCACCGTTTCGAGTGGGAGATATCCCAGTTTGTAGAGCTCGACGAGCTGATTCTAGTGGCATAAAGCATTTTCCCCAATGTTTCTTGAAGACCCAGTTTTTCAGAAACTTTAAAAAATTACCAAAACATTTTTTAAATAAGATATAATTGTAGCACGCACAC